GAACAGCCGGGTGCCGGGAAAGGACCGCGGCTAGCGGGGAGGGCGGGAGTCCGCAGCCCGGCGCTCTTATAGCGGCCGTCACGTGGCCGCGCAGGCTCACGCTCAGGCCGCATCCTCCGCGGTGCGCACCGCGGGCGGGGCGACCCTGAGAGCCGGCGGGCTGCTGTGCCCAGAAGACACCTGTTGGGGGCTGCTCTGCCTCCAATCCTTCCAGGGCCTGGGAAGGGAAGGATCAGAGCTGTCAAGAAAATGAACGGTTATGAACCTTCAACTGACCAAGCCCGCTGGCAAGTCAAGCGGGTTGCAGTAATTCATTTGAACTGTCTAAATAGAAGAGATTGTTTACTTCTACTCACTTTCCTTCTTCAAACAGACTCTGGAAACTTTCCACACTGTCACAATGGTTTTGTGGTACTAACCTAAAAAAAGATATTATTTTAACCAAATATTTAGTCTTCGTGCTGGTTGCTTCAATCGAGTAGTTAAGTGTTCTATCTAACCATTTTATTTACCAAATCAAGGACGTAGAAGTTACATATTGCCATATACCTGTCAGTTTCTAGATGGTGAAACCCACAGACTTGGAAAAGTTAAGTTTTGTTTCTTTTTGTTTGTTTTGTTGTTGTTGTTTCGAGACTGGGGTTTTCTGTAGCTTTGGAGCCTGTCCTGGAACTAGCTCATGTAGACCAGAATAAAAGTTAAGTTACTTTACTATGATAATAAGCTGTAAGTAGAGAGGCAGGATTTGGACCCCAGCAGTTTCAAATTAACACACTGCTTTAGAAAGCTCTGGAGCCTCTGGCATACTGGTTCTGGATAACAGGTACTAAATTCCAGTAATTTAGGTAATTCAGTTGTTTCAGGTAATCTGTTTCACAAATCTTCAAAGTCAGTTTGTCATTTCAGGGAGAAGTTGAGAAATAGCTTTCTAATGTAGCCACACCTTGCACAATTTTCCATCACACCCACTCAGTCAAAGCACAGTAGAGGTTCAGCAATGGTGGTTCAGTGCTCTGAGAATCATCTGTCAATAATGAATGGTGACCATATCAGTTCAAAACGGGAAACAGACGTGAAAGGATAAGTAAAGGTAACATTGCAAACCTCAAAATAGTTCTTACCTTACCATGCTTGCTTCATTCCCAGTTTCTCAACTTTATATTAGTGCAGAAGCATTAAACATCAGAAACTACTTTGAATTTTGACATTTCATTGGCTAGTGATATGCAATACAATATTCTCCCATGATGCTGGATAGCTGCACCAGCTACCAGGGTATTATTACAGCAAACAAATAAATGTTGCTCTTTTGCTAGGCTGTGGTATTGGATGCAAAATGTAGTAGGATATTCTAGATACTCACAAAGGGTCTATGTGAATATACAGTCTCATAGTAGTCATAAACATGGGGCCTTGTCTACATCACTGCTTCTTGATATGTGGGCTTACATCTCCTCCCCAAGACTTAACCTGAGCACGTTTTAAAACATAAATTTGGGGGCTTAATTCCAAATATTCTAGAGTAGAACCATTTTTGAAAACTACATTCTATTTTTAATTGATCTGTATTAACTTAGTACATTTGTGTGGTACTGTTTGCCATTTTAGTAAGCATTATAATATGTAATTATCACAGCATATCTATTACCAGAATACGATTATTTTTCTTTTATTAGCAATGCTATGTCTCAAACACAGGGTTTTGTATACACTAGGCAAGTGCTGTACCACGAAGCTATACTCCTATCCCAAAGCTAAGGTAATTATTTTTATTGTTGTTTGATACGAGGCATTGTTATATAGTATGGCTGTTCTCATATTCCTGACTTAAACTGAATCCTTCCCTCAGCTTTCTGAGTCAACTCCAGGAACGCACATGGAATCAGAATCTTAAGATCAGAGCCCAAGAACTGGTTTTTGAAGTATATTCCTTCAAGAATCTCTCTTTCCTTCCTAATCCCTCCATATCTATTGTGGCTTGAAGGCCAATGGGCATGTGAGGAGGGACCTCCCAGTACTTGGCATTAACCTTATTTTCAGGAAACAGAAATTCAGGGCATAAGGAAAACATAGTTTTCCATTTACTCAAATCCTGTATGCTTATGAGAATTGCACTCTTTGTGAGCTGTAAAGGCTATGCTTGAACTATACTTGAGTGGAAGAAGGGAGACAGAAGTAGGTGCTTCACAGTCTGAGTTGCTCTTTTCCAGGATAACACATGGGCCATTTTTTTTAAAACTCAGGATACTTTTGCCATCAGTATGACTTTTGCCCTCCTTCTGCTCCCAACTGAGTGTCTCAGTGTGGGCTTTCCCAGGATAGAGTATTGGAACTCGGAGGGCAAAGCCAAAAGACACAAGACAATAGGATATAGTAACTCTCCTGCCCTGTGTCATAACTTTTAGTTAGAAGGAATCTTGATCATCTGTTTCTTCCACAACATACACCGGTGTTAATATTGACAACATTATACTGATTGGGCCAAGTAAACAGG